GCCGCCCCCGCACCCCTGAAAACAGCCCTCTCCTTCCAGCTCTCTGTGCTCACCGGGGCAGGGGAGCCGTCCACCGCAGCCATTAAAGATGGAGTATTAAAGACAGCGTCGGCCAGCGGGAGCCTGATGTGGCCAAAAAGCCTCTAAACACGTTTTCTTAAAGGGGCAGTCCTTCTTTTTTTCACTACGGTTTTGCCCCGGCTCTTCACGCTGGATCCACTGATATCTTGGCTCTTTGCCTGGAATGGGTTGGCCACCCCTCCTCTCTCCCTTTTTTAAATGATTCCTAACATACTATTTGCTTTTTCGACTGACGCTGCACACTGAGGGGCTGTTTTCAGAGAACTAGCCACAATGATCTCTCTCTCGAGTAGTTGTAGCTAAATTAGTCCCCATCATAGTGTACTTATAGTTGGGGTTATGTTTCCCAATGTGCATTACTTTACATTTATCAGCATTCAATTTCATTTGCCATTTTGTTGCCCAATCACTTAGTGTGGAGAGATCTTTTTGAAGCTCTTCAGTCTGCTTTGGTGTTAACTATCTTGAGCAGTTTGGTATCATCTGCAAATGTTGCCCCCTCTCTGTTTACCCCTTTCTCTAGATCATTTATAAACAAATTGAATAGGATTGGTCCCAGGACAGACCCTTGGGGGACCCCACTAATTATCTCTCTCCATTCGGAAAACTGACCATTTATTCCTACCCTTTGTTTCCTGTCTTTTAACCAGTTATCAATCCATGAAAGAACCTTCCCTCTTACCCCATGACAACTTACTTTACTTAAGAGCCTTGTCAAAGGCTTTCTGGAAATCTAAGTATACTCTATCCACTGGATCCCCTTTGTCCCCCTTTTTTTTGACCCCCTCAAAGACCTCTAGTTGATTAGTAAGGCATGATTCCTTTTACAGAAACAATGTTGATTTTCCCCCGATAAATTATGTTCATCTAAGTGTCTGACAATTTTATTCATTACTATGGGTAAGTTGTACTGACGTTAGATATAATTATCTGTAATTGCCAGGATCGCCTCAAGAGCCCTTTTTAAGTATTGGCGTCACGTTCGCTATCTTCCAGTCATTAGGTACGGAAGCTGATTTAAAGGATAGGTTACAAACCACAGTTAATAGTTCCGCAATTTCCCATTTGAGTTCTTTCAGAACTCTTGGGTGAATGCCATCTGGTCCCGGTGACTTGCTACTGTTAAGTTTATCAAATTTTTCCACAACCTTCTGTAATGACACCTCAATCTGGGACAGTTCCTCAGATTTGTCACCTAAAAAGATTGGCTCAGTTTGGGAACTTCCCCAATATCCTCAGCCGTGAAGACTGAAGCAAATAATTCAGTTAGCTTCTCTGCAATGACTTTATCATCTTTGAGGACTCCTTTAGCATCTCGATCGTCCAAGGGCCCTGCTGGCTGTTTAGCCGGCTTCCTGCTTCTGATGTACTTAAAAACATTTTGCTATTACTTTTTGAATTTTTGGCTAGCTGTTCTTCAAACTCCTTTTTGGCTTTTCTTACTATATTTTTTACACTCAATTTGACAAAGTTTATGATCCTTTCTATTTTCCTCACAAGGATATGACTTTCACTTTTTAAAAGATTTTTTTTATCTGTCACTGCTTCTTTTACCTGGTTGTTAAGCCATGGTGGCACTTTTTTGGTTCTCTTACTGTATTTTTTAATTTGGGGCATACATTTAAGTTGGGCCTCTATTATGGTGTCTTTGAAAAGTTTCCATGAAGCTTGCAGGGATTTTACTTTTGTCACTGTACCTTTTAATTTCTGTTTAACTAACCTCTTCATTTTTGTGTAGTTCCCCTTTCTGAAATTAAAGTCCAGTGTTGGGCTGCTGAGGCGTTTTTCCCACCTCAGGGATGTTAAATTTTATTACTTATGGTCACTATTTCCTAGTCCAGTTATATTTACCTCTTGGACCAGATCCTGCGCTCCACTTAGGACTAAATCAAGAATTACCTCTTCCCTTGTGGGTTCTAGAAGCAGCTGCTCCAAGATGCAGTCATTTAAGATATCAAAAACATTTATCTCTGCATCCTGAGGTGATATATACCCAGTCAATATAAGGATAGTTGAAATCTCCTACTATTATTGAGTTTTTTATTTTGACAGCTTCTCTAATCTCCCTAACCTCTGTGAATTTATCTAGTTCTTTTTTGAACCCTGTTAAAGTCCTGGTCTTCACAACATCCTCTGGCAAGGAGTTCCACAGGTTGACTGTGCGCTGCATGAAGAAATACTGCCTTTTGTTTGTTTTAAACCTGCTACCTATTAATTTCATTTGGTGACCCCTAGTTCTTGGGAGGAATTAACCAGAAAGGAAAACCCTAAATAGATAGCAAGGGGACATGTTAACCCTTTTCAAACCCCACTTCCTTTCTCTCTGAGGTTCATCGAAGGGTTTAGCCCATAACCAATTAGATCTTTGATGTATGTAGCAGAGTTACCTGTCTCTGGGGCTTCAAAACTATGACTAAATGACTTGGCCAAGGTCACCCAGACAATCTGTGGCAGGACCCAGAGGTGAAGTTCAGGTATCTTTTTCTTTTGTAGTTTCAGTCTGCAGTCAAACTGCCATTCAGCCTGTACAAACTCCTCACTGATCCAGCTCCTGGGCTTAAAACTGCCACAGACTCAAAAGACTTTGTCCTGGGTGGTTTTTTCTCTGTGTTGTCTTGGCTAATCTACATGCCTCCGTCGAAGGAGGCATGTAGTCTAGACATACCCTGTTTTGTCTTTTGTTATCAATGCAGCTCCTTATTTGGGCAGCTGGATGGGCTCTGGAGATTCTAACCCCATCGCTGACTCTTTCTGTCCCCTGGGGCAGGTCTCATAACCTTGCTGCCTCAGTTTCCCCCATCTGTCATGTGAGGACAATAATACCTGCTCATCTGCCACAAATGGGCTGAGTTGAATATTGGTGAACAAAGGCCAAATCTGTCCCTGATGCAAGTTAATTAACTCTGTGGCGTTCGCCAGGGGTGGACTTTGCCCAGAGACTCTGCAAATAAATGGAGGAGATGCTGGGCCAGATTTGTAAAGCTATAGAGAGGCAAATAGGTGTGTCAGTGCTTTTAAAAATCTTACTATCTTCATCATTAGGAGCCCAAATACCTGTAGAAATCTGCTAAGGATTATGCATTCCAAGCAGGAGGGTTCTGGCGAGGCAGTGCTGGAGTTTGCAACAGCTCCTCTTCTTGGTGTGACTCTTAATAGCCATCTCTATTTTTTTCTTTCTGAATGAGAAGTGACATCTCAGCCCAGTGACGTGGCCAGCTCCTTCTGATTTTCTTTTAATGAAATCATGTCCAAATGAAGGCTCCGCATCTGGAATTACGCTCCAGACCCCGTGATCGCTCATTTTTATATATACACAAGGGAGGAGGGAAACGCGTTTCCATAGAGAGAAAAAACTATCGCAGCCCTCTTAATAACAATCAAAGAAAAGGCAGGAGACAGAAGTTCAGGGTAATGTGCCTGATGTATTTCTCCTTACTCTGAGACGGCGGCTTGCAACAGCGAGCGCTCTCGCTCCAGAGCTCAGAAGACTTGCAGGTGAGTGCATGGCTTGGAATTCATTTATGAAAGGGGAACCGGTTTCATCTGTAGGAAGTTTAAATATTTCAGTGCTTCCAATAAGTGCTTGGGCTCCTGCCGGGTGCCCTATTTCTATGCAAAAGGAGAGAGGCATTTTATCAAAAAGCTGTCTAGGAAACTGCATTATGAGACCAAAATGATTCTCTCTTTTGAGTTTCTGAAGCAAAGGTTCAGCTGCAATTTTCAGAGTTAAACTGCCTGGTTCCCAGGATGGGGAAAAGAGGTAGGTCGGACATTTTTCGCGGGAGGGGAGGCACAAAATGCTGTTTTTGTAACAGACTGGGCAAGCAAGACGGAGCCATAAAATCAGTTTTGTCCTCGGTGCATCAGCGACAAAACGGGCCATTTGCAATATGCAGTTGGTTTATGAGTTTGCAAAGTGGATGTGTGTGTGGCTCGGGTCCAAACTGGTAATATTTGATCACTCTGCAACGACTTGTGCTGGGAAGCTAAGCAGAGCAAATCAGATCCACCTCGTTAGCTCTAGCTGGAGTCGTTATTAAGGGAGGACACTAATCATAATTCCGAAAAAGCTTTGTTCCCAACTTGCTCGATCTGCCTTGCCTGTCTGCTTCACTTTTCCTCTCATCTTTAACAGCTAAGAGGCAGGTAGCAGTCCCCAGCTAGGGTCAATTCTGATAGCTCCAGCTGGCTATAGCTTTTCAATATAATGCCTGTAAATTGTGCATTGGAGCCACAACCATTTATCCCAGCGAAAGATGTGCCCCTAAAGTCACTTGTGGCTCATGTCTCATCATCAGACTCAATCCAAACCTCTTCAAAAGCTGCTTTGCTCCTCCTTTCGGCTGAATTCCACATTTCTTCGGTGACAGTTCCGGGAAGCAATATTTTATAATGGCTAATGGTGCACGAGGATTCACAGGTACAAGAGATGCAGCCGGAGGGTTAGCATGAGTGGTTTTTGCAGTAGCCAAGAAAAGAGAACGCATTAGCCCGGCCACCGGTAGTGTATTGTGCGGAGGCTTTGCCTTGATGGTTACAAAATTAGTCCTTCTTCTGGGGATTTGAAAACCAACGATGCTTCAGGGCGTGCTTCCTTTGCATTTTTTCATGTTCCACAATTCTCGTCACCAATCACAAGGAAGTCCCCAAAGAGTCTTGTCACCAAGCCCCCAGGAAGTCCCCAAAGAGTTTTCAGAGACCGAACAAGCTAGTCTGGGCATAGCCGAACGTCGGGCCAGACGCTCCATGTCAGATGATAGTATAAAGAACGGTACAAACTGCTTTGATAGTTAGTTGTACGGGTCTCAGAGAGACGCAAATCCTCTGACGGATTCTCACACTGATTAGGGGACTGTCAGCCCCAGAGAGCACTTTGGAGGGGCCCGATTCGTTCTGAATTACAGCTGGGTGTTTCCAAACAAAATGCAAAACGCAGCCAGCAGCCCGGTCGCTAGTAATAACAATCCAGGGCCAATAGCCCTGGACCCTAACAGAGCACATGGGGCCAAATTGTCAATAGATGCGAATTCATGTACAGCAACACGGATTTCTAGTCGTGGAAGAGCTGGGCTCATGCATTTACAGGGAAAAAGTGAGCAGTACTTCCGTGGTTAGTGGTTGTTTGCTGAGATGTATACGGACGAGTCCAGGCAGCTGTCTGATGAATCCTGCCGGGCATACGGTTTAAAACCTCTCAGAACTCCATCTCTCTGACACCAGCTCACGCAGCCAGGTTTCTTGGCTCAGTCGATGACTCCGGGAACACAGCGTGAGAGCAGGGGACTTCAGACAAGTGGGAGAACAGAAAGTTACTTTCCCCAAACAACCCCTCGCCCATGAGGCCCTGTCCCTCTAGTACAGGGGAGGGGAACCTAAGGCCTGGGGGGCTGTATGCGGACCATGGCTTGCCTGGATCAGGCCCCCTGATACTCGGGACTCCCCTCGGCACCATGGGACGCTTGGGACTCCCCCTCTCCCCACGCTGGTGCCCCAGCCCCCCCACATTGTCCCCTCCCGGGGCGGGAGCACACACAATCTACTAGCCTGGACCCTCCCCCAGCTCTGGTGTGTGAGGGGAACATGGGGAGGGTCTTTCTCTTTCTCAGTCAGGGTTCACGTCTGGGGGGGGTTGCTTCTCACTTGTGTGCAGCCCCCGACTGATTTTTCTGTGGGTCAGCGACCCACATAGGTCCCCCACTCCTCAGAGGCATAGGGAGGGTGTTATGCACCCAGGGGCAAAGGCAACATTTCCACCCCCTGCCCCAAACCTGGCGCACAGCTGAGCCCAACCCGGAGTGGGGGGGAGCTTGTACCATGTCTTCCCCCGCCCCCTCCAGTTTGGGGCCAGGCCCCCACATGCATTAACCCGCTGGCGGAGATGGAGGAGGGTCGGGCTGGGGGCAGAGAGGAAGCGTCAATGAGGGTCCAGGGTGCTGAACGCCCCACAGGATCGGGCCCAGGAGCTAATCCCACGCACAGCTGAGCCCAACCCGGAGTGGGGGGGAGCTTGTACCATGTCTTCCCCCGCCCCCTCCAGTTTGGGGCCAGGCCCCCACATGCATTAACCCGCTGGCGGAGATGGAGGAGGGTCGGGCTGGGGGCAGAGAGGAAGCGTCAATGAGGGTCCAGGGTGCTGAACGCCCCACAGGATCGGGCCCAGGAGCTAATCCCACCGGCTGGAGCTCCCAGGGAGCCGCCCTCCTGAGCCGGGCTCCTGATGGCTCGGCCTGCACGCCACAGGCCAGGCAGCCCTCCCTCGTGCTCCGGCACGGGCTGCCCCACACGGTGCGCTTGCGCCAGTGGGGCTCCCCTGCCCCGCACAGAGGTGGCCAGTTGTTCTGAAATGGGCTGCACCGACGGGTAGCGCCCACGTGAGGAAGATGGTTCCCTGGTCAGCCACGCTGGAGAGGGGTCTACACCATCCCTGACAGATGTCTATCTAACCTGTTCTTAAATATCTCCAGAGAGGGAGATTCCACCACCTCCCTTGGCAATTTATTCCAATATTTGACCACCCTGACAGTTAGGAATTTTTTCCTAATGTCCAATCTAAACCTCCCCTGCTGCACTTTAAGCCCATTACTCCTTGTCCTGTCCTCAGAAACCAAGAGGAACAAATTTTCTCCTTCCTCCTTGTGACACCCTTTTAGATATTTGAAAACCGCTATCATGTCCCCCCTTAATCTTCTTTTTTCCAAACTAAACAAGCCCAGTTCATGAAGCCTGGCTTCATAGGTCATGTTCTCTAAACCTTTAATCATTCTTGTTGCTCTTCTCTGTACCCTTTCCAATTTCTCCACATCTTTCTTGAAATGTGGCGCCCAGAACTGGACACAGTACTCCAGCTGAGGCCTAACTAGTGCAGAGTAGAGCGGCAGAATGACTTCACGAGTTTTGCTTACAACACACCTGTTGATACAACCTAGAATCATATTTGCTTTTTTTGCAACAGCATCACACTGTTGACTCATATTCAACTTGTGGTCCACTATGACCCCTAGATCCCTTTCTGCCATGCTCCTTCCTAGACAGTCGCTTCCCATCTTGTATGTATGGAACTGATTGTTCCTTCCTAAGTGGAGCACTTTGCATTTCTCTTTATTAAACCTCATCCTGTTTACCTCTGACCATTTCTCTAACTTGCTAAGGTCATTTTGAATTATGTCCCTATCCTCCAAAGAAGTTGCAACCCCACCCAGTTTGGTATCATCTGCAAACTTAATAAGCGTACTCTCTATCCCAATATCTACATCATTGATGAAGATATTGAACAGTACGGGTCCCAAAACAGACCCTTGAGGAACTCCACTTGTTATCCCTTTCCAGCAGGATTTAGAACCGTTAACAACAACTCTCTGACTACGGTTATCCAGCCAATTATGCACCCACCTTATCGTGGCCCTATCTAAGTTATATTTGCCTAGTTTATCAATAAGAATATCATGCGAGACCGTATCAAATGCCTTACTAAAGTCTAGGTATATGACATCCACCGCTTCTCCCTTATCCACAAGGCTCGTTATCTTATCAAAGAAAGCTATCAGATTAGTTTGGCATGACTTGTTCTTCACAAACCCATGCTGGCTATTCCCTATCACTTTATTACCTTCCAAGTGTTTGCATATGATTTCCTTAATTACCTGCTCCATTATCTTCCCTGGGACAGACGTTAAACTGACCGGTCTGTAGTTTCCTGGGTTGTTCTTATTCCCCTTTTTATAGATGGGCACAATATTTGCCCTTTTCCAGTCTTCTGGAATCTCCCCTGTCTGCCATGATTTTTCAAAGATCATAGCTAAAGGCTCAGATACCTCCTCTATCAGCTCCTTGAGTATCCTGGGATGCATTTCATCAGGACCTGGTGACTTGCTGACATCTAACTTTCCTAAGTGATTTTTAACTTGTTCTTTGTGTATCCTATCTTCTAAACTTACCCTCTCTCTGCTTGTATTCACTACGTTAGGCACACCTCCAGACTTCTCGGTGAAGACCGAAACAAAGAAGTCATTGAGCATCTCTGCCATTTCCAAGTTTCCTGTTACTGCTTCTCCCTCCTCACTGAGCAGTGGGCCTACCCTGTCCTTGGTCTTCCTCTTGCTTTTAATGTATTTATAAAAGGTCTTCTTGTTTCCCTTTATGCCTGTAGCTAGTTTGATCTCATTTTGTGCCTTTGCCTTTCTAATCTTGCCCCTGCATTCCCGTGTTGCTTGCCTATATTCATCCTTTGTTAGTTGTCCTAGTTTCCATTTTTTATATGAGTCCTTTTTTATTTTGAGATCATGCAAGATCTCATTGTTAAGCCAAGCTAGTCTTTTGCCATGTTTTCTATCTTTCCTACACAGCGGAATTGTTTGCTTTTGGGCCCTTAACAACGTCCCTTTGAAATACTTCCAACTCTCCTCAGTTGTTTTTCCCTTCAGTCTTGCTTCCCATGGGACCTTAGCTACAAGTTCTCTGAGCTTATCAAAATCTGCCTTCCTGAAATCCATAACCTCAATTGTGCTGGTCTCCCTTCTACCTTTCCTTAAGATCATGAACTCTATTATTAAGGTTCTACATTGGAACCTTGTTCGGGTCGGGGGCCGTTGACCCACAGGAAAATCAGTCCGGGGGCTGCACACACGTGAGACGCAAACAAGAGAAACCAACCCCTCCCTGACGTGGCCCCCGACCGAGAAGGAGAAAGACCCTCCCCAGGGGCGGGGGGGGGGGGGCAGGCTGGTAGATTTTGGATGCTCCAGCCCTGCAGTGGGAGAGCAAAGGGGCTGGAGTGCCCGCACAGGCTCCCCAAAACTGGGGTGGAGCCACAAGCCTCTGGAGCAAGCCACATCCGGCCTCCAGGCCTTCGGTTCCCCACCCTGGCTCTAAGCTGACTCGTGCGCCTCTTTCCGCAGAGAGAAGTGGTGTAATATGGCGCAAAGGGCCCTGTCTTCCACCAAAGCGCCCCTGCAGCCGCGAGCATGTGGCGGGATCTACTGGCTCCAACGGGCTCGGTGTTACACACAGGCCTAGGTCCTCCATTGGAGCCAGGCCTAGCTCCGTTTCTGCAGCCCTTCTCCCGTTGCCATGGCAGGCAGATGCAGGCAGGCGCCTGGTTACACCCGCGTTGCGCCTGGTGCGTCACCCCAAGCAGGAAGGCCGGGGGGCTATGCTAGGCCTCCTTGTCTGGCAGACCCAACACGCTCAATGGTTGTATCCTAAGTGAGACTCCCGCAGGCACCTCCCTGTCTTCTAGGAGTCAGGCAGGCGCGTCCTTTTCGCCCAGCTGTGAGGAGCCTTGCTGAACTGATCTCAGCGGAACGGAGTCCTTGTAGTAGTTGATTCAGGCCTGTCCTCAGACAACTTCCCAGTCCAGCTAGAGAGTCCACTGGGATACACCAACACCTGCTGTGGAGCACCCCCAGGGACGTCTCTCGAAGAAGACCTGACGTTATTCCAAAATAACAAAGAGTGCACCGATACAGTAAACCGTTATTTCGAAATAATGGCAAGCTGGAAGACTTCTTACTCCAACTCCTGGGCTGTGTCTAGTCTACACCTCTCTGTCGGCAGAGAGCTGTAGATTAGGCACGTTGAAATAGCTAATGAAGAAGGGATTTAAATATCCCATGCTTCATTAGCATAAACATGACCTCCGCTTTTTTTCGAAACGGAGCTTTTTAAAAAAAAAAACGACCCATAAAGCCTTTTTCGAAAGATCCTGTAAACCTCATTTTATGAGGGATAAGGGATCTTTCGAAAAAGGCTTTATTTTTCGAAAGAGCCCCATCTAGACTGCCATTTTCTTTTTTCGAAAAAGCTCCGTTTTGAAAAAAAGCAGAGGCCATGTTTATGCTAATGAAGCGCGGGATATTTAAATCCCTGCTTCATTAGCAATTTCGACGTGCCTAATCTACAGCTCTCTGTCGACAGAGAGGTGTAGTCTAGACACAGCCCTGTGGCCCTCGTTTCACGAGGAGTAAGAGAAGTCGGAGCAAGAATGTTCTTCCCTTGACTTCCTGCTGCGTAGACAGCGCCAAAAGCCGAGTTAAGCTATTTTGACTTCAGCTGCGCAATTGACGTAGCTGAAGTTGCATCACTTAATTTGACTTTAGACCTGCTGCGTAGGTCTAACCCATAGAGCAGTAGTCCTCACCGTGGTGCCCGTGGGCGCCATGGCACCCGCTGGGACATTTATGTGCGCCCGCCGAGTGATCAGGGCCGGCCCCGTCCCCAGGCGCGTGGTGCAAGGGCTGTGCTGGTCCCAGGCATGCAGTGTATGGGCGGCACCAGCCTGGGCACCCAGCACAGGAGCGGCGCTGGCCCCAGGCACATGGCGTATGGGCGGCCCCGCCCCTGGGCGCGTGGCACAGGAGCGGCGCCAGCCCCAGGTGTGAGGCACATGGGCAGCCCCACCCCTAGGCATGAGGCACAGGAGCAGCAGCGGTCCCGGGAGTGTGGCACATGGGTGGCGCCGGCACCGGGCGCATGGCATATGGGTGGCTCTGCCCCCAGGCGCGTGCATGGCCCCACCCGTGGGCGCCTGTGTGGCCCCGCCCTCGGGTGCCCGGCAGCCCCAAAAGGTTGGGGACCACTGCCATAGAGATTAAGCCCAGATAGACACATTAGATCCCCGGCCTAGTGCTTGGTCCTGCCGTGAGGGCAGGGAACGGAATCTGATGATCTGTCGAGTTTCTTTCCAGTTCTGTGATTCTGTGAGGCTATGTCTATGCTGCAGAGTTTTTGCGCAAAAATGGCATCCATATGACAAGCATGTTTGTGTGCAAGAAAATGTACAGTGACTCGACAAAACAGAGGGGGTTTTGCGGTATAGGTACTCCTCTTTCTACAAGGAATAACTCCTTTTTGCGTAAGAGCTCTTGCGCAAAAAGGTGTGTGTGGATGGGAAACGGAAGAAGCACAGGTACCCTGCTGGCTATTTTGCGAATGGCAATCAGAGCTTTCTTGGAAGAGAGAGTCCATGCAGTCTGCACGCTCTCTTGTGCAAAAGCCCATCACTTTTCAGATGCACTTTTGGGGTGGACGCACTCTTGTGCAAGAAGTTTTTGTGGAAGATCTCTTCTGCAAAAAGCTTCTTGCGCAAGAAGCCTGCAATGTAGACATTGCCTGATTCTATGATCTCCTATCACAGGCCACTATATTTCCCCCCAGCTCCTCTAGTCCAGGGCTCAGCATCCTTTTCAAACCAAAGAGCCAGCTGCAGCAAAATTCAGAATAACAAAGAGACGTATCCGAATGCCCATTTGCATGACTGAAAATATACAACGTCGTATTATTGATAACTGACCTGAGGATTAATAGCAGCATCAATGAAACATTGCACTCACAGACTTTGTCGAATGGGACTTCTGCTGCTGCTTCTTTTTGCACTTTTCTTTGAAGTTTACATCATAGCTGGTCCCATTCAGGTTCATGCGCGCCTTCAGGCTGCAGGAGGAATGACACGGTTTTAAAATGTTGAATGTTTTCATTTCAATTTAAACAGTGGCCTGTATTTTGGGAATGGCCAAAGAGCCGTATTTGGCTCCACACTGAGCCATAGGTTGCAGACTCCTGTGCTAGACTGATCCCAATTTCTTTAATTCAGTTCAGCTATTTCCATCCTCAAGAAGCCAAATTGGGTGCCACAGGCTCAGGAGAGCAGGAGAAACCACGGTGCCGCCACGCCAACCGCTCCTTCAGTCCAAGGTTCCATCCCAAAGAGCTCAGAGGGGAGAATTAAAACCCGCAGCATGTCCATGGTGCTTTGCAAAGCCCTACACAAACATTAGCTAGTCCCCATCAAACCCCTGTGGTCCAGGGCAAATAACAACTGCAGACCTGTATCAGGGTTCATAGAACCATCGAGCTGGTAGAGACCTCAGAAGGTCATCAAGTCCAGCCCCTTGTCCAAAGCAGGACCAATCCCAACTAAATCAACCCAGCCAGGGTTTCGTCAAGCCAAGACTTAAAAACCTCTAGGGATGGAGATTCCACCCCCTCCCTAGGGAACCCAGCCCAGCGCTTCACCACCCTCCCACGGAAATAATATTTCCTAATATCCAACCTCGACCTCTCCCACCAGTTCTTCCCTTCTGAGCCCATCCAAGATAACAATTAGTATTATAGAAACCTAGGGAGTTCCAAACTGAGCTATCGGTTACCCTCAAGTACCCCCCCCAGCCTCTGCCGCGGTGGAGACAACAGCCACCAAACCTCATCCGTGGGGAATGGAGACACTGCACAACTTGGTCTTTGGGAAGAGCAGGCACAGGGCCGGATTAAGAGTTTTAGAGGCCCTAAGCACTGAAAAGATTATGGTGCCCCCCATATATAATTCAAAATATATAATATAGTATTATACTATACTGGAATATAATATAGTATTTATTATACTATACTGGAATATACTATAGTATTATACTATACTGTAAAATAAAATTGTATTTTTCGAAATGACACAAAACTGACATGTCTTCTGAAAACAAAATAGCTTCTTTCTAGATTTTCTGATTGCAAAATTCTGGATACGTTCATCAAAGCTGACTTGACGAAGCACGTCCACTTCCATACACAATAGGGAAAGTGAATCGAGTCTGTCCTGACACGCTGTTCTCTGAGGGTTTTATATTCTTTTCAGCTGAGAAAAAGAGCGTTCTGTGGAGTTCTGACTTTTCCCACGATGACAACTTTGATGCTTTTTTTGAAATATAAATTTTTTTTAAAAAAAAATCTCATTTTTTTTTGGTGCCCCTGCTTTGCTGGTGCCCTAAGCACGTGCTTAGTCTGCTTATTGGATAATCCAGTCCTAGCAGGCAAAGATGCTGCTGCAGCCATTGAGCTGAAATGAGCCCCTTAAAAAGACTCTTCATGGATTCCTTGTCTAGACATCCTGCCCCATAGTAGGGAGTTGCGTTCAGTAGGACATGCCTCCAGCTCACACCAGATGATGCATTCTGCGCCAGCGGCCAAATGCAGGCCCTCTCTGCGTTTTCCATTCGCAATCCGCCGTCACTACATAGTTTCTTAAGGTAGGGGGCATTTTTAAAACCATTTTCCCAACACGGTGGGCCCAGTCCCATTGTGCCGTTCATTGCGCCTGTGCAAAACGGGGGCACAACGCCACCAGCGTCTTTCCAACCTCTTGGCACCCATTTTGCACGTGTAAATGACTGTATTTTAGTGGGCCAACAAATCGAGACCAATTTTCTTGTGAAAGCTCAACTTTTCTAACGTGCTCTACACTTTGCACGGTTACGTGGATTGCTTTGAAATTTGGGAAGGAACATGGGGATCAGTGATTCAAATTTGAGATCGTTAGATCCAGGGATTCCTGAGATATAAGGTATAAGGCAGTTAAAAATCAGGCCGACAGTTTTCTATGTAGTTATGTAAGTAAAGTCACCCATCAAGACAGGAATTATGGGGCCATTCCTCCACTCCTTACACATTAATAATTATAAACCTGCATAGAGATTCTAGTCATTATTACCCTAAGATTTGCCAAATAGGTAAGAATTTGAAGCCTTCTGGGCCAAATGTGCTTGAACAAGAGTTGGGTGTTTGGTCCATAAATCAAATGGACCATTTCACTCTTGCTTGCTTAGATGACTTCTTTCACTCAAAAGACATTCAGCTAAACCATGGCCTTCTTTAAGCCTTAACCCTGCAGTGATGTTATGCAGTTTTTCTAAACCCAACTGAGAATATTCCAACCTTGAGGCAAAATGGGGGCAGAGTTAAGGTTATGGGTATTTTGTGCATGTGACTGGCTTGTTACAGAAGTGAAACCTCAGTGCTGAAAACTTCTGCTATTTTATGAAAGGGATGGTCTTGCAGCTTTGAACACCCTGGAAGAACTTTTTTTGCGTGGGAATTTACTTCATTTTCTAAATCGTCCTACCGAGAGACTGGAGAGAGCAGTGGGGGGATGTGATTTTCTCTCCCATCTTACCGACCCCCTGTGACAACACGTCGGGATTTTCCCATCTCCTGCACCCCCGAAATGGCATGAACAGACTCCACCAGCCAGTATAATGGAGGTTGTTTATTGCCCCTCCAGGATATAGCACAGCACAGATGTAATCTGGTTACAGGAACTGGGGGCTAAGAGGCCTCAGTGCCCCCCTTGAGATAGGGGAGTCCCAGCCCCCCTCCCCAGCTCCTTCTCCCCTGCTTTCCAGCCAGGAACTAAACTAACTCTCCTCCAGCCCTTCCCCCTAGCCAGGGTAGCATCCACCTTCCTTTGTTCCTCTGCATGGGGGGTGGCTGGTCAGACAGGTTGAGACACCCTTTGCATAATGACTTATCCTGTTTTACTGGGCCGTGGTACCAACTGCAGCCAGTGGGGGTTACCCCAGAGCCAGCAGCATAGAAACCAGCCAGGTACCCCCACTACGTCACACCCCCTAATGCCTATGCAGAGAGAAGTGCCTCTCCAGCACATCTTAGGATCTTGTGAAGGGCAGAGACCTTCTCAGGTCTCAAAAGGGGGGGGATGAGGGAAGCAGGAGGACTTGGGGGCACATCTCAAGGGGCCATCCCCCACTCACCTCCTATGCATCTCCTCGGGCCCAACACCTGTGGAGTTTACAGGACACCTTCGAGAAGAGCTCAGTTTGGCAAGTCCCAGAACGCTACTCGGAAGGGTGTCCACCTCCCAGGTCCTACCCAATCCCAAAAGCCTTAGAAAGCTTCTGGGGTCCCTCAACCTTCTCCACACAGATAGGAAGAGGATTGGGGGGCCCCATGAGCCTTAGGTGGCTAGTGGAGGGGCCCCCAATATCCACCCTCTTGAAGTTTCTCATCAGGACCACACCCCCATCCAATTTGGGCCCATTACAGGGGCCAGCCCTAGCTGGATTTCCATGTGGCGTCTGGCAAGCCTTATAATGCCCCCAGCAGGTGGCAGGTGGGTCGGGCTGGGAGGGCCCCCTAGGAGCCGATGGAGGCTTGGGCGGGCTAGCTAAAATAAAAAGGTCTATGGAATGGGTGGGAAGCCCTAGGCATGCCTCCTAACTCCCGGAGCATGGTGTCAAGGAGCCCTTAAAGGGCCGGTACGGCCTGGAGGCTTTCTTCACTGTCTCCTGCTTCGCTGCTCCCAAAGCTATGGCCGCTGGAGCCCAGTCAGGTTTGGGACCATGAGCTGCATGGCACCGAGGCTCTCTCTTCCATGGCTGGCTCCTGTCCCGCTGGCCCCCGTCTCCAGCCCGTACCATCAGGTGCGGTTTCATAGTCTCGGCTCTCTGGTCTGGTGGCCTGGAATTGTCTCCAGCCGCCCCTCCAGCAAGTCCCGGAGAGCTGTCGCAGGGCCCTGCGCGAGCCGGATGAGTGACCCCCTGGGACTGACAATCCCAGAATGCACAGAGCTTCCGCTTGGGCCTCACCTGTGTGTAGCCACGCTCCCGGCGGGGGGGGCGCTGTCGTGTTGCTCCCAGGGTATTAAAGAGTCACGAAAGCTATGTCTACACTGCTCCCGTTTTGCACAAAAATTACGCAAACGAGGCAAAGCGTGGAATATCGCCGCCCCTCATTTGCATAATTAACGAGGCTCTGTTTTTGCGCCAGAGGCTTTTGCACAAAAAGGAGCCATGTACACGGCTCCGTTTTTGCTCAAAAAACCCCTCGTGCACAAGAGCCGTTCTTCCGCATTTTTTTCAGGAAGAACGGCTCTTGCGCAAGAGGGGGGTTTTGTGCAAAAAGGATATTTTTTGCATATTTTTTTCACAAAACGGGGGCCGTGTAGGCATAGCCGAAGGGTGTCAGAGAAGAACCAGGCAACCCAGGAGCGGATGGGGTGAAAGGAACTGCTTTATAGCCTACGCACGTTTACCTCAGACATTCAACATGATGTCGGAGTGGCCCCGAATTGGCTGTAGTCAGAACCTTTTATCTATTTTAGTATGTTAATTTAGTAAAGTTAACTCCCATAAAATGACTATTAATAAGCAAATAATGAATACAATTATACCCGCCCCTAATTACTAAGTATAGAATTTCTAATTGACTCAACAGTTTCCTATACTACAAACTAACAGGTGACAGAGATTTCAAGGAATCTGACCCTGAAGATGTTCTGCAGTGACAATGAGAATCTGACAGCCCCAAGTAACATTGCGGGAGCTGACAACAGTTTCTTGGGTCCCGCCCCAGAAGCAGCTGCATGTCAGCAAGAGTAAAGCAAAGCAATTTCTACGTGTAGGTCTCCAAAAGCTCCGGTCTCCTTGCACAATTAGAGGCCACGTTTCTAACTGTGGGTCTTAGCAACTCACCCAAAATTACAGAGGGAAACCATGGGTCCCCCCTGCTCTTACCACTAGACCACACTTCCTCCTAGCTGTGGGAATAAAACCAGGCGTCCCGATGCCCATCCTCTTCTGTAACCACTAGACCACACTTCATCCTAGCTGTGGGAATAAAACCCAGGTGTCCTGATGCCCTATTCCCTGCTCTAACCAACAGGTACTTCCTCCAAGCCCTGGAAATCTCCATTCCATCCCGGAATTACTGGACCATTCTGCTTTGAGCATACACTGATTAATACTAATGACACTCACCTATGTTTCTACCTTCCCTGCCTTCTCTCCCTCTCCTGAGCCTCAGGGGGGAACCATGTCTCCCACCAGATTCGTGCTGCTGCTCCTGATTTTGTGCGCCGCAAGGACGGGCCTGTCCCTCAAGCTGTACAAAGCCGAGTCCCTCTTCAACTGCATCAACGCCGCCCTCTCGGAGGCCGAGAAGAGCCTCCTGGAGGAGAACTCCCCCCTGGACAAGAGGAATTCCGACTACCCGCCTGGGAAGGAGGCTCCCTCACCGCGGGAGGAAGCGGAGGAGGAGGAAAAGGAGAAAAGGACGTTCCCAGAGGACGCCCGTTACCAGTACCAGGCGCCGCTCAAAGGGAAGATGCACCAGACCCGGGCCAAGAGCGACCGGCGCACCAAATTCACCCTCTCCCTCGACGTGCCCACCAACATCATGAACATCCTCTTCGACATCGCCAAGGCTGCCGCCAATGCCCACTTGATGGCGCAGATCGGGCGGCGGAAGTGAAGGGGGCGGGGAGCGAACTTGCGGGTGAGGTAGGGTTGGGTGGGCTGGGGAGGGCGGCGGCCATTTTCAGCCCACCCCTCCTGGGGCTGCCCAAATGGAACTGTACGTCAGTGCTGTCTATTTTTGACCCTTAAAGCTGCATCACACTCAGCGCGCTCTGTCTCTCTCGCTTTCTCTCGCTGAACTTTTCCTCCCCTCAGCGCCCCGACGGCTGCCCGCGTGCTCCGGGCGAGGGGGCATCAGACCACGGGGAAGGGGATGGGCAACAGTCTCTCGAGTTTCCAGTCCTGTCCTTCCCCCTCAGTCAGGCCTCGCTGGGCAAAGAAAGCGTGACGGGGCCTTGTCCCTCAGGCTAGAGAGGCATCTGTGTGAAGGTCGCACAAGGGGATGCGTCACTGAGGCGCTGGGACCCAGACAAGACCGTGTTGCCATCAAACGCAGCCGGACGTATCCCACAATTCCCTGGGACAACGTCCTTAGTCCTCTCTCCCAACCCTCTGCAATGGCCCCTTTGGCCAATGGCCGCAGGTCAGGCCAGTATCTCCCCGTTGTCTCCTGATCCCCGGCTGAGCAGGGAGGAGCCATGCCATCAAGCGAGCTGGCGACAGGCAGGGCAGGTAAGTTTTCCCACAGTGCACCCCGATCCTAAGGCTGGAGCGGTCACGTTGAGGATGACACTGAGGATTCTGGGAGAGGGTTACTTGGACGCGGGGCTGTGCCCGGCCGTGTGGAGACCAGAGCCAGCGGTTTGAGCCTGGCTTGGCAAGACCTTACCCCGGGGTCCGATGCCGTGGGGCTGCTCCACCCCGGGTCCCTTGCATGAATCGGCTGGCGTGAGTCCCGCTTGCCCCGGGCTTTCGTTGCCATAGACACCCCCACGAAGCAGTCACAGAAGGGGACGCTGAGCATATGACAAGCCTGGCCAAATGGCCGGCCCTAGTAAGATGCTTGAGCCTGGCTTGGCAAGACCTTACCCCGGGGTCCGATGCCGTGGGGCTGCTCCACCCCGGGTCCCTTGCATGAATCGGCTGGCGTGAGTCCCGCTTGCCCCGGGCTTTCGTTGCCATAGACACCCCCACGAAGCAGTCACAGAAGGGGACGCTGAGCATATGACAAGCCTGGCCAAATGGCCGGCCCTAGTAAGATGCCTAACCACCCCGCACATGAGGCGGCAGAACAGCCTCTCCCCTCCAGGGGGTTAATGACGCCCACCAGG